TGGAAGTAGAGCCCGAGGTCACAGAGGAGAGGTACCCTTATTCACCCTGTATGATCAAAGAACAGTGGGACAACCAATTGGATGCACACATGTAGAAAACTAAAGGACACCTGGATGCTGAATCGGATGTCTACATGACACAGACAGATCCTGAAACCAGCGATTGAAGCCTTATTACCTCCCTGCCAATTAGACTCTAAAGTCACCGCTTCTGTTAAACAGCCTTGAGAAAACAAAAGAAGAAACCGATTGATGCTGGAAGGACCTATCACAATAGGCTGTGGACTTACCTGCAACCTGCTGGTTCGTTTAGTCTGTTCCATCTACTTTTTGATAGTGTTATATGAAACCCGGTTTTCCTTTGATTTGGTTGTTTGTTTTGTTGTTTATCCAGACTTCTGTTTGAATGGGAATGCATTGGCGTGTAAGCAGAACAAGTTTCCAGTCTCTGCCTCACCTGTCATATACGCTGACATTTAAAAAGTATTTCCTCTGTTTATTTTTATGATCCCAGAAGGGCCCAGTGTTCTCACTAGTGGGTTGTCTCTGGGATAGCGCTCTACATCTTCCTTAAAAGCTACGTGTTAATAGCAAGAGCCAAAGGAATGTTTGCTATATGGATGGTGAAGGTAGTAAATTAGAAATGTTGGTATTGCTACTGGGCCATGGGATGGTTACACATGGTAGCAACTTTGATTTGGTGAAAGTTGGTGTTGCCTCTATTGACACCATAGAAATGGTAGCTGACCTGCTGAGTTGAATACGAACAAGTTACACCCTAAGAGTTTTCAGCTTTCCTCTTGGCTTTGTATCAGGTCCAAAAGGCCTGTGCCCTCTAGAATAGAAACAGCAGCCATTTGGTTTGGCAGAGTGACAGAAGAGGACACGGGTGGGAGACTGATTACAAATGGACTGCTGGGGGGGGGGTCATGTGCTGTTAATGTGGAAATGCAGTTACCTACGTCTATCCAGAACCAATCTTGGTCTAATCCACTTAACTGGTTGTATTTGACCCTCTCGAGGTTTAAGTTCAACCATATTTTGTCAGCGGTGCAGTTTCAGTGGAATCTTGTATTTCTGGTTCCTTATACCGAATTGTTCTCCCAATTAAAAGAAGAAGAAGAAATTAGAGTGAATAAACTTGGGAATTAATATGTTGCATGATACAATGGATATTATATTAATTATGTTATATTATATCATATTATATTATGGTAATTCATTGTACTAAAACCACCAAATGTTTTGCATTATGCTATGCATAGCTTGTACTTACTGTCACTGCCGTTTTCATAGGCCACCAGAGCACCTAGCACCTTACTTTACTCTTACTTATTTGGAGTGTGCATCATTTTTTGTATTCTTCCTGGCCTTTTAAGTTTTTGGTAAAAAGGTTATCAACAAGTCTATTCTAGCACACAGGATGGCTCTGGAGTAGGTCCACACAGCTAGGTCCTGGTGGTGATCGAGTGTAGGGCACATCTGCAAGATGCCTGGGTGAAGGTCTTGTATCTGTTCTGGAGCATGAATCATGTTGGCCTCTGTACAACGATTATCAGAGTGAGACCCTGTAGGGAGGTCAGGGAGCCTTTGCTGTGGGAGCACAGCTTAGTTCACTGGACTCAGAGTATTGTGGAGTCCGAGTCATTCCTGATGATGGTCATGACCTGACCTAGCTATGATATTGTCCTACATATGCTGCCCTGACCCACTGTGGCTCCCAGCAATGGAGCTGCTTCCACATTCGAGTGTGACTGACCCCGGAGGGAGCGGGGAATGTCACCCACAAGGATCTCATCCTAAACCTGGATGGGGCCTCTGAGAAGCCAGGGCTGGTTTGGGATTGAACTCCAGGCATCCTGCACCCTGCACCCTGTGCTTGGTGCTGCTCTGTAGAGGCCCTGCTTACTGTTGGGACTGAGTCTGCCCCACTTGACTATCTCTTTTGCCTTGGGCTCTGTCATGGTTTGAATATGCTTGGCTCAGGGAGTGGCTTTTTGGAGGTATGGTCTTGTTGGAATAGGTGTGTCACTGTGGGCATGGGATCCTTATCCAAGCTGCCTGAAAGTCAGTATTTTCTAGCAGCCTTCGGATGAAGATGTAGAACTCTCAGTTCCTCCTGCACTGTGCATGCCTGGATGCTGCCATGCTCCTGCCTTGATGATAATGGACTGAAACTCTGAACCTGTAAGTCAGTACCAATTAAATGTTGTCCTTTTAAGAGTTGCCTTGGTCATGGTGTCTGTTCACAGCAGAAAAACCCTAACTAAGACAGGCCCTTAATCCCATGACTACCTGGATCTTGGGTTCTGTGTTACTGGGCTCAGCTGACAATGCCTCTTATCCCTCTGGATCACTCACTATTGCATCTTCCCCACAACTCTACGTGGCCTTTCACCTCTAACCACTCAGCCTCACCTGGATTGCTGCCTTCTATCCCTTCCCATTTCTGCTGCTTTCCCTCACTCCCTGGAGGAGGATTCTCACTCTCTGGAGAGAGAGAGAGAAGAGGCAAGTGCAGGGAGGTGCAGAGGTCAGGGGCAAAGGGTAATGAACTGGAGGCTCTAGGATGACCGGGCCTCACCAGGCGTCAGGTACTGGTGTTCAGAATCCGCATCTCTCAACTCATATACACTGGACTTAGATGAACCTTCAGTGCTGGTAGATTAAAGAATACTTTCTCTGATATCACCCAAGAGGAAGAAGTACAGGTAAAAGGCCCATATTACAATAGGAAAGTCAGCACACAAGCAGCAACACGTGGGAGTGGGGAGTTACTGTGTGTGAAGGAGGGTAATCATGTATTTTACGATTAAAAAAGATTCAGTTTACATTTTGTGCTTATAACTACGTCATTTGAACCACAATGGCTAGGGCTTTGAAAGGATGTTGAATTTCTGTGCCTTTTGGGGGATTTTACATAAAACTTCCACACGTGAGGATATGAAAACCCTGACTTTTGAAGGGAGAGCAGTCTGTCTCTGCCTTGTAATTACCCTCCAGTGTTATTCTTTGGCTCCAGCTGTTCAACAGAAGCAGCGTTTGAAAAGGTCCTAAACAACGTTGGGGAGCAAGTGTCCTTCCTGCAGGTCCAGAAGTGGCATTGTCTTCAGCAGCCAGGTGACCACCTGCTGACATGGCCACTGGCTCCACTTTCCTTGTTAATTCAGTCAGAGAACACAAAGGAAGGGTGGGTCCCTTTTCTTTCCATCTAAAAAAGAACACTTTTCTATATAAAACATGCCCCAAATCCTTTGTAAGGGCTAAGTCCCCATAACACATGCTGAGGCTCCTGCTGGCAGTGATGACGGCAGCCTAAAGAAAGAGCCATGACTTCCACTGGGTTGCCTCTCCTGTCCTTGTTACCATTTGCCAATAATAAAAGGAGTTCATTTGTGAATGGCTGGAGCAGAGGGAGGCTGCCCACTCACCCAGGCCCAGGTTCTGCTTTAAACTAGATTTAGAGGAAAGCTGTGGAAGATGATGCTCAGAGTCCCTCTCGATTAAAGACGTGAATGCCCTCGTGAACATTGTCCAAGCAGCCATAAGAAGTAATGAAAAAGTATCAACAGGGCTGGGTTTACCAAGGGCATAGCACCTCTAAGTGTGGCAAGGGGCAGCCTTCTGCCACCTCAGGCCCCAGTCCTCAGGCTAGCCTAGAGATGAGTGCCCTCAATTCTATTCAAGGAATTGATCCACTATTGAGGAATTGCTGAAAATATTGTAGCTCTGAGTTAGGTAGTGGGGGATGCACCTCTGATCCCAGATACCTTAGGGGCTGAAGCGGGAGAATGGGGACCTGAAACCAAGCCTGGACCTTGTCCTGAAAAAGAAAAAAAAATGAACCTCCCTATGTTTATAAGGGAAAGAACTCCGCTCTGGCTTGCGTGAACAAAGCTGGCTAAAAACCTGTATGCAGCTTGACCTAATTTCCACCAGTAAAAACAGAGGAGAAAGGGAAGGAATTGTCTGTGTGACAAAATAGGCCTGGGACCTGCATCCAGTTCACAATCTCTGGGGCTGGAGGCTGAGCTCAGAGCATTCCACTTTCTGCATGACAATCGGCCACAAATCTAGGGTTTCCCATCTCCTAAAGTTCCCACATTCTTAAGCAGCTGATTTAAAATGGCTGGCGTTTGATGAGAAAGAAGAGTAAGCGTATGTATTCACACAGATGGAGCTGGTTCTCAGTGTGGTTCCCAGCTGTTCCAGCAGGCTGACTCCCTTGGGCCCATCTGCAGAGCTGTTCTGTTTAGAGCACCTCATTCCAAGCGTCCCTAATCAGACAGGACAACTGTGATCCTAGAGGGCCCTGCAGAGCCCTCCTCTCCCATCCTGCTGCTTTCTCTGAGGATATTCCCCAGAAGCTGTCTGAATGACTTCTCTGTTCATGCTCTTGAGGATTTGACACCAGTGTCCAGTGTTCCCTACTACTGAGCAGCAGTGTGGTGTGTGGAGTAAAAACATTTTACTTTTCTAGTGGCTAAGGGTCAGTATAGACAAATACCCACAAATAAGAGCAAGCAAGCACACACACACACACACACACACACACACACGAGCACACACACACACACGCACACACACTTATACTTGAACACCTCTACATGCACACAGACGTGAACCCCACATAAATTCACAAACAACCATCTACAAATAAGCACATGCACTTGCATGTACAACATGTTCTTTCTTAAGCACACATGTGTGCACAGGCATGTGCACATCTACCACACACACACACACAGAATTTCAGCTTGCTCTATTGACAAGGCTCAGGTTCTGCAGAGCTGAGTGAGCAGATTATGGCTGCAGGGTAGGAGTAGCCAGGTATGCCAGGCACATCCTCACGGTTGCCACTTATACATCGTGGGTACCTCAGACCCAACTTCTTCTATGAGGAATTGTAGACAGGATGGTCCCGAGTCAGGGCTCTCAAGGGTATAGAAGCAGGTGGCTGTGTTCTAGGGCCCCAGCATCATTTATAGCAGACTCTCACACAGAATGAAATCAGGTTTATTGCAGTATATACACAGCTCAGTTTCACTCTGTGGCGTGTTTGTAGATATTCCACATATAACATGTAAGATCACATGCTGGCCATATGGTTACTACACATCTGCTTCTGGTGAGTTCCAGAGTGGCCACTTGGTGATCAGCCCGTCTCTTTACCAGGGAGAGGACCCAGTTCTGTTTAGCACTAGCACATGCTGGGCTGAAGGTATGGCCCTGTACATCTGAATGTTCCGTGTGTAATCAGTGACTGCTTGTGTTCACAGGTTTTACATGTCTCTTTGGGTCATGGCAGAGTCATAACCAGTTGTTGGTAGGACTGTCAGATACAGGAATACTGTGTATCCTCAGAACTGCTGGATTAAGCAGTGAGCTCTGTATGAAGAGAGGCGAGGCTGACACCAGGGCTTGTAGCATCCACCTATCGTCACTGCCAACAGCTCTTTTAAGTGTTCCTGACCTAGGCCATTTGCTCCCTACAACCTGTTCTCTAGCCTTGTAGTCCTGGAAGGCAGTAGGTTAGTGGTGTTTTCTAGATCATCTGAGGTGTATGTGTCATGCAGTTGCAGACAAACTGGAGGCTTTCCAAGAGTTGATTGAGGCAAAAGTCCAGGGACAGTTCTGTGTGACAGACATTCAGGTCAGATGTCTGGCCACTGGGCCTCAGCTAGTTTCTGGATACTTCTCTGCTGAACTAAAGCACCCACGTACTGGGAGTGGGGCCCTTACTTTTGTGATTTCCTGACCCCGAGACCTCTAGCTCTGGCATAGTTGTTGAGATCATTGGTATTCATACTGGCCAGAGCCTACATGCCACAGAAACCACAGGAAAAACATTTTGCAGTTCTTATGCTTTGTGTGTGTGTCTCTGTGTGTGTGTTGGTGGAAAGTTACATAGACTGTGCCAGAACACTAGGTCCAGAACCTACAGTCCTTGCACTGGGCCACAACATAGTCTTCTAGGGTCTCTGTGCACGGCAGGGAAAGACACTCTCTGCCTTCAGATGCTTTTTAATCATGGCAAGCATTTCCTCAGGACTGTTTGCCCACAGTTGTAAATGACATCGGAAAAACAAGGATCATTATTGGCAAATATCATGTAGGAATACTTGATGCCATTTTATACTTTGATAATATAATTCTCTTTTTAAACAATGTTAAGATTGTGATTTTCTTTAACACTGGAACAGTTTTCTATTGGCTAGAGAACAGCCCTTGGCTGAATGGATAAGTCACAAGGGCCTTCAAGCCAACAGCCAGCCTGGGATCCAGAGCTGCTCACCACTTGTAGGAAGCAGCAGATGCTAAGTGCCCCAGGAGGATATGAGTTCCTGGCTTGGCCGCTGAACTATGAACATCCTCCCTGACTTATCTTTGGTCCAGGGAATGGCAATGGTGTGGCTGTCCAGATGTAGTCCCACAGGACAGAACTCAAGGGCCTGGAGATCAGGAAGCTTCTAGGATGAGAAGGTTGCTCTCAGCTGTTTTCCTTGGTGTGCCATAGATTGAGGAGGAATGTCAGAGAATCCATGGGCATGCGTTGTGTGCCACAGGGTGGTGATGCTTAGCTGGTTCTGGACCTGGTTCCTCCTGACAGGAGGCAGTAGGAGAACTGGAATCTTCCTCCTTGATCTCTTTGGAGGTACTTAGAGTCCAGTTTTGATGTTCAGGGCCACCCGGCATCTTTGTTGTGTTTGAAAGTAGACCTGTCTATATGGCTGAGCCATATTATGAAGAGGATGGCTTAAAGGCTAGAGTTTGACAATAATAATTGGCGTTTCAATCAAGTTACACATGAGGATCAGAGTTAAGGACCAGGGCTGACCCAATAAGGCACCAGATACTGGGGCAGCAGAGGAAGCTGGCAAACACATATGTCAAACCCAGCAGCATTGTCAGCTCCATGTGAGGGACACAGCTAAATGACCGAGGTCTCTGACTGCAGGAAGGACTGGGTGCGAGATCCTCGGTGGATCTGTAGGGCGCTTTCTGAGCCATTCTGGGACATGGACCAGCTGTGCAGCCGGTAGTCCCGGCTCCCGGGTTGGGTCAGACAGAGGCCTCGCCACCTTCTTTTCAGTTCACATTGTACCTGGGGATGAGGATGTTAGTGAAGAGTCAGCTTGGAATGCAGGAACTCATGAATCTTCCAAGGAAGCATGCAGCATGGATTCAACCACGAAATAGCAAACAGCTGGTTGTAGCTTTAGAGTCTTCTCTAGTACCTACAGGATGAGTGGTCTGGCCCATCCCCGCTCCTGGAAGTAATCCTCAGGCCTCAGGAAGGTGATGGGTGAGTGTGCAGGGGCTGGGAGAATGGAGAGCTGGAGGAGATGGTCTGGCTTTGATGCCTACGAATGCCAGACACCAGCAGGCTACACTAATGTAGCATGGGGCTGGACATAGGGGGTGGTGCACAGAAAAGGCTATATCCTTATGGATATTGGTGAGTCTGATGTAGTATGTTGTATGTCTTGCCTTAGCACAGCCCCATGGATCCTGTAGGACTTTCATCAATGTCTTCCCACTTTAAAGACTCTGAGTGAGGAAAGTGTTGGGAGGAGAAAAGGGTGTTGGCTCTGTAAAAGCCTTCCTTAGTGACTAGAAAAGGGGATGGCCATCAGCTGAAGGTCATACAGAGACAGCAATACCTAGAGTGAATAGACTCTAAGGATTGGAGGTGCACGGATGGAGTGTTTACATAAGAAGAACTAGGCTCTCATGTCATCTTGGGACAGTGATGCATCTCTCAATGAGGCCCAGCCCCTCCCACCAACACCACACCTTCTTGGACCCAGTTCTGGGTTGAAGAGTAAAATGCTGATCCTGGGGACTGGAGAGATGGCTCAGTGGTTAAGAGCACTGTCTGCTCTTCAAAATGTCCTGAGTTCAATTCCCAGCAACCACATGGTGCCTCACAACCATCTATACTGAGATCTGATGACCTTTTCCGGCATGCAAGTGTACATGCAGATAGAACACTCATATATAATCAATCAGTCAATCAATCAATTAATCATCAATAAAATATACTGATCATGAAGAGGATATCAATCAATCAACCAATTAATCATCAATAAAATATACTGATCATGAAGGGGATATTGGGTAGAGGACAGAGGTGCAATTTTGCTGGAAGGAGTGGAAGTCTTGCTAAGAGGAGCTTTAGAAAGTTTGGGCTTGGTTACATGGGGGCACAGTTGGGCAGAGATTGATGATAGGGCTAACTCCTGACCCAATGTCAGTGCCCAGTTCCAGCTGACAAAGGACTTACCTCACTATTCAGGAAGCAGTATAGAACTGCTACCACCAGGCCCTGCAAAGAGACAGAGTGTCAGAGCTGCCCACAGTTTGCAGCCCCCACAGCACCTCCCATACTTACCTGGAAGGAACCAACACATAACTCAAACAGGATCTGGTATGTGGAGGAGATGCCAATGGGGAAGGCAGCAAACACCATGTAGTGGACGCCAAACAGTGGGATTAGCAGCAGTGTTGACTTGGCGAGCCTCCTAGTAGAAGGAGAAGGACATGATGCTTTGTGCTTCTCACATCCCCCACCCGAGATCATGAGAGATTTCAGAGACTGAAGCAGTCAGGGAACACACAAATGCTTATCCTTTGTGCCAGTGAACCCTCTTCTTCACCCATTTGGGCAGAATCCTCAAATGTGTACATGCAAGTTCACTCATGAAGATGATATTCTTACAGGGCATATTGTGTGACTCACTGGCTTTCAGGGAACTTAGTGCCCTTTGTCTCAAGTGCCAACTGCTGGGACACACTACTCTTGGACGGATAATTCTGGTGGGGCTGGGCTATTCAATGACAAAACCTACTAGGAGCAGGACCCTGAATTCCATTCTCAGAACTGGTTGGGGGGGGGAACTACATGCAGCATCTCCAAAACAATCAGGGGGTTTTCCATTACTGATATAGGCACCAATTGATATGAGTCAGTGTTTCCTGGAATCTGAGTTATCTCAGCCAACACTTCTTAGACTTCTACTGAGTTGAAACCATGTGGAGGCCTCGTTGCTGCTCAGATTCCAGGCCTCATCAGAATTCTGGAACAGGAAGGGTTGGGCAACAGCCTGAGAATCTGCAATTTCTGCCCAGTTCCTAGTGATGTCTCCTGTTCTTATTCTGTTCTAATAGTCCCACACTAGAGACCAGGTATCTAGCTTACCATTCCCAGGTGCCTCCAACTGCTCAGGAGTGCATGCTCATCTGAGCAGCCACCTGGAGGGTATGTAGGTATGCGGAAGCCCTCTCTTGGCTTCTTACTATCACTAAGCACACAGCCTATATCCCTTAGATTCAGCTAGGGAAGACAGGATGCTCCTCCTGGTTCTTGTTCCTCTTTTTTTCTCTCATTACCTTCAACACAGGAGAAAAAAAATAATCAGCTTTCTTTCATCTGCTTTCAAGGTTTCCTTCTTCAAGTCCACACAAGCTAGAGTCATCTGAAAGGAGGTAATCTCAATTGAGGAACTGCCTCTAAAAAATCCAGCTTAAGGCATTTTCTTAACTAGTGATCAATATGGGAGTGCCTAGCCCAGTGGGTGAGGCTACCCCTGGCCTGGTAGTCCTGGGTTCTATAAGAAAGCAGGATGAGCAAGCCATGAGGAGCAAGCCAGTAAGCAGCACCCTCCATGGCTTCTGCATCAGCACCTGCCTCCAGGATCCTTCCCTGTTGTTTGAGTTCCTGTCCTGAATTCTTTCAATAATGAACACTGCTGTGGAAATGTAAGCTGCATAAACTCTTTCCTATTTAACTTGCTTTTTGGTCAAAGTGTTTCATCACAGCAATAGAAACCCTAAGTAAGATGCAGGGTATGAAAATTCTAGAGATGTATGCCTTCTTCCACATGTTGGGTCCTATGGGGTGGGGGATTAAGGGCAGAATTTTCCCCGTTTGATAACTTTCATAGAAGCCTGGTGCTTTCTGTGATGGCCATGGTGCAAGTGGTAGGTGTGTCTCTACCAACAGGATGTCACTGCAGCTGCTGCCTTGCAAATGCACACCCTCAAGGCTCTGTGCCCAGCAGGGTGGGTCACCAGGCTCCTGAGCTGAGGTTATGTGGAAGCTGCCAGGTCCTATCTACACATTTGTCCCCAGGAAATCCTGTGGGAGAGGAAGTTCTTTAGTCTTTCTTTGCTACAACCCAAAGGGTGAAACAGCCCTCTGCCCTTCTTATCACCCTGGAAGAGCACAGACTTCATTATTCTATATAATTGTTTCCAAAATAAAAGTATCCATCCCAAGACCTTAACTAACACTCCCCAGGAGCCCAGAGAAAAGGTCAGCACAGACACTAAACAGGATTTGCCCAAAGTCCAAATTCAATTGAAAGGCGACTAAGAATGCCCGCCCTGCTTTCCAGGGCTGCAGAGGGGATGCATGAGAACCATTATCTCCGATCAGGCACCATGTGGCAACTTATACCTTGTTATGTGTAGCCCAGCTGGTTTCCTCCACAAAGAGAAACTTATTTCTTGTATTTGTGCTCACTGTGACACAACTAAGACTTGAGTGCCTACCAAGTCCTTTCTCTACTCTTCTGTTCCAGGCACTGAATGTCTTTCAGTTGTTTCTCAAACCCAACAGGCGAATAGCCATTCTATTTTACAGGAGAGAAGATAGCATACAGGGAAGGCCCCTCTCTGCTCAGCCATACTGCTGGCTCAGCACCCATATCACACTGCATTTTTTCCCCCATGAAAAGCAGCCTGGGTGCAGGTGGTAACTTCCATCTGACTGGGAGCTGAAGACCTATCAGGGTGATGCAGCTCTTAGCCACCACAGCGTCATCTGAGCCCAGGCTCTTGAGCTGTATCAAATACAGCATCGCCAAATTCATGTTCATATATCTGAGTTGGGATCTAGTTTTTCTTTATGAATTATGGGTAATCTATTGATTCCTTGGATAATCATAAATTAGCTAGTGACATTCATGACCTCCAACTCTGTGCCCTTCTAAGTGACACACAGCTTCTTAGATTATTCTAGGGCAGGTCTAGACACAAAGTGCCAACTGTGCTTGCATGGCCCAGTCCCAAGGTCTGGTGGGGAAGACAGACAACATGAAGAGCAGTGTGTGGTCAAAGGGAGATGTCAAACTGTGGCATCATAGAAAGGACACACATTTAAGAAACACCCTCACATCAAAGCTCCATGTACCGTGGCAAACATGAGAGAATGTTCTTATTTTTAGCACCATCATCCCATCAGTCTTCTTGGCCCCTCTGAGTGCTGGGCTGGAAGACTCCAGTGTCAGTGCATGTTGACCCTTAAAGGGTCACCTGGATATCCTGAGGACCTTCTACAGCTTGGCACTGGGCTCTACTCTCCATGAACTTTGTTGTTCATTTCTCATGCTGGACAAACAGATACTCACTTGTACTGTGACTGGTCATTGCCGCCAACATCTGGAGAAGTTAGCTTCTGAAGTAAGATCCTTACAATACTGATAAAGAGGGCAAAGTTGACCTGCACAGAGACAGCAAAGGAGTATGTGATCTGTGAGCACCTTTAAATCGTATCCCTTATCACTCATCTATAGGATTTAGCCACCATCTACCCCAGGCACTAGGTCTGCCCACTGCACCAAAGAGGACCTCGTGTGGGCATTAAGGGTACTACTGCATAAGGTTGTGGTTATCTGAGCAGCTGGAGATGGGCAACAGACTATTTTAATCTCCTCCAAGCCTAGAATCCTTCCTTGGAGTCTACTCTTCCTTGGGTATTGTTCTGGGAGTGATGGGGCCCTGTAGGGAGGTGGTAGCCATGTGCTCATAGTGAAGCACGTTGGTTGTACTCTGTGTGGTACAGGTGCACAAAAGAAAAGCAGAGCACAGCCTCTCCACAGGCAGCTACTTACTACAATAGAAATTAGAATAGGCATCCGAATGACCCACCAGGGGATGCTGTGGTCGTTTGTGTCCCAGCAACTGTTAAGAGAGAAAGAAAAGTAGTGTCACTCTGACTCAACATACAAACTAGGTTCTGTGCAGAACTGTTTGGGTGAGGACTGATTCTCACATGAAGCTTGCAGAACCAATCTTCCCCCTTCTTGGGTCTTAAACTTGATGTGCCAATCAGACTCATATTGCACAGTCACCTCCAACCAGATCTAACTGCCCTGCACGTTGAATGAGGCAGCTTTCCTCGGTGAGTCAACCTGACAGTCTGCTAATGTCGTCGAGGTAGCATAGAGTGCAGCTCCAGGGTTGGTAAGTCTCAAAGCTGTGGGAATTCAAGGTATGTGCTCTCACCTCTCTTGAATCATGAAGGCCCTTTTCTTCCTTCAAGGCTATAGCTCACAGTGGGTGCTGACTGTTCCAGCAAGGGCAGAGTTCCATGGCCTAGGGACCCAGCTGGTTTGGCAATGTGACATGGGCAATTGAGCTGGCTCTGAGACTTCCAAACCACAGAGCAAAGAATGCCTTCCAGCTGACACTACCTCTGTTGTCAGTCCTGCTTACCCAAGGGTGACTGGGCCGGTGAACCCAGCTGAGGAACAATTGCTGGGGTGAGTGGATGGGGTTTCAATTTTTGTTGTCAGTGTAACGTCACAGACTAAAGAAAAGGATTGGCTTAGACCAACTACTCAGAGTGATATGCTCTCCAGTGGACAGTTGTTACCCTGGGGTCTTTTGTGAGATGCATTTAGCCTAGGGATGCCTGTTACTATCATTGGGCTCAGAAGTTCTCAGGGAACGAGCTCACAGAGGCCATCCAGGCGACCACATAGCCTGATCTCAATGCATTTCTACCCCCACCTCAACCCCTGTAAACCTGCTTGTTTCTGCTTGGCTCTCTTGGGGACACCAAGGAGTCATGCAAAGTATCACTCATTCTGCCTGGCTTGTTGCAATTTTAGCTAAATCCAGGCATGGCTTAACTTTCACCTCTCATTTGGGCCATCTTCTAAATACTGAAATGCGTACTGAGTCTTGCCCATGACCATCCACGTGTCTTCTAATCAGGGGGTGCTAAATGTTGCCCAGAAATGTCTTGTCTGACTGCAAGACTTTTGTCTCTAATGGTGAAAGCTTCTTTAACTCCAAGATATTCAAACCAGCAATGGAAGGCCTTGTTTTACCAGCATGAATGCACACACAGCACTTACCCTGTGTTTTCTAAAGAGAGGCGGGTTGCTGTCCATGCGCCTATACACACACTGGGGATGCCTGTGGAGAGATTTCATCAGAGTAGCTTGTCGTCATTAGTGAGAAATGGCACCCCTGTATACCTGGTACTCAGGAACCAGAACTTGTAAAGAGGAATTTTCAACCAAAGGACCATATGGATGCTCTCGCTTAATGTCTTCATCAATACATGAAGGTTTGCACTTATGCCTTATTAATTAGCCAGGACAAATATATCTGAAAGCTGAGAATCTGAAGAGGGCTGAAACCTGTCTGTTGAAGACAAGGAGGCCAAGTAAGAAGGAGATATGCTCACTGGGTCCATGTTGTCTGAGGGGCTGTGTGTTTTACTCCCTAAACCATGCATGCTTTCATCCCTTCCTGCTCTGGAAAGGGCTGAGCTCCTGGCAGCAGGTAGGTGTGCCATCAGCCTGCTCCTCTGATTTTTCATTGCTGATATGAGCTGACTGGGAAAAGGGAGAAGAACGATTATTTCGCTACTTATTAAAAGTTGTTTCGTTTAAGGTAAGGGGGATGCTGAATGGGAGTCGAATTCTAAAGGATTTAAAACCAGCTCCTTTGTTGACATCAACGGAACCCTCAATGTACCCAAGGTGACTATAAGTATGCTCCTGGAGTAGGGTTTTGAGAAGAAAACTCCATATTTTGGCCAAATGAGATGGGAATCAAGATGGAGAATATGAAGCCCTTACCCCATCCAATCAGAAGGTAGGCCAGGAAGCACCTGCTGGGAGGAAGGACGGCTACCAGGAGGGTGTGCAGGTAGAGACCCTCCACCAGAAGCCAGTAGAAGTTCGCCATGATACAATACTGGAAGAATACCAGGCTGAGCTTGCAACCGACCTGGAACCAGAGACAGTGAGAGAACGTGCCAGTTGGTAAAAATAGTTATGGTAGGCGGGGAAGCTCTCTGTTTGGATAAGTTGTAAAGCAAAGCCAGCATGCTGACTTGGATGGACACTGTTAATATCTTGGCCTGGCAGAGGCCAAAAATGTGTTATACTGAGGTACAGCCCTTTGTATATACAATGCCAGGCACCATCTGCAGGGAGCCTCTGATTCTCTGAATCGAGAAGTATAGGCAGGGAGTTCCTGGGAGCCAGTTGTTGGCCACCTTCCTGGACACCAGGCTCAGACATACCTCCTCCTTCTCAGTCCTCCTTCCTGCTGTGTTACTCCTGGCCCCTCTGTCATGTACTCACCTCAGTATTTCCTCCACTGCCCACCAAAGAGGCTCACTCTCTCCAGAGCATGCAGTAGAGGAGAGCATGTGCTGGCTAAAGTGATGTGGGATACTTGTTTTAGGGTTTCTATTGCTTCGATGAAACACCATGACCAAAAGCAGTTTAGGGAGGGAAGGGTTTATCTTATCTCACAACTCTCAAGTCAAGCTTCCTCACTGAGGGAAGTTAGGGCGGCAAGCTGGGGGCAGGAACCAAAGCAGAAGCCATGAGGAGTGATGCTTAATGGCTTGCTCCTCATGGTTTGCTCAGCCAGGGAGCCAGACATCAGTCATAGATCAAGAAAATGCCCACAGGCCAATCTGGTGGAGGTATTTCCTCTACTGAGGTTTTCACTTTCCCAATGACTCTAGCTTGTGTTGAGTTGATATAAAACTAGCCAGAACAGTGTTATGAACACTTGAGGTACTTGCAGGGCCATTGCCCAGGATACTTGGGAAACTGTCAGTGTCTGGATGCTGGGGGAAGGGTAGGCTTTGCCCAGTGAACCTGCAGTTCCCTGGACTCAACCCCTGTATCTGAACAAAGGTTTAACGCTGGAGAAGGTTGGCAGACCATGATCACATCCTTAAGAGATGATAGAGGTTTAGGAAGAAAAACAATGGGCCAAAGTTAGGTTCCTTGACTTTAAAAAAAAATTGACAACCTTTAATTTAATATGTCATTTTTCTCTCAGTTGAAGATCATTTTAAAACCCCTATGAAAAATAGTTCATTTGCTATATTTCTTTTTGTTTTACACTTTATTTCCAACTCTAATTGATTTCTCAAAATTTAAATACCCACTCTTATAATCTTTTTCATGTATGTCCTTGCATCGTAACTATACCCACCCCACATACAGGTACATGTATTCACCCATATCACAGGTATAAACATATATCACACATATATGGATGTGCATATGATATATTTATATTCACATATATGCATATATATCACATGTATATACTGAATATATACCCATCCTATAGATATCCATCTCACATATTGTATCCCATCTTGTATCCATAATACAGGATCTCCACACATGTTATTGTATATATCTGTAGATGTGCATATTTATAGACTGATAAATGAGAATGGAATTGAAAGTGATATTCTTTTTCCTTTAAAAGCAGCAATTTTCTAATTATGCACAAAGTTGAAATCCTGATTTATTAAATACCTGGTTATATGAAAGGAGACCAAAGGTTTAGATATACTGATTATATGTTTTACATCACACACAGGAAACATGGAAGCCTCTCCAGAGGGCCTCCATGACTATGAAGGGCTTGCCCTCAACATGCTGAACTCCATCCATGCCCCAGCCTCTTCTACATAGCTGTGGTCATAAGCTTTGCCTCCTCCTTTTTCTCCAAATGAAAGTAAGGTACAGAACAATTCCTGTTTCTAGGAACAGTCAGACACCAAAGACTTTCTACTACTGTAGTCTTCTCTGTCAGTGAGGATTCCCACAGCTTCTGATCTTAGCATGAGATCCTGCACAAAAATGCCCCAACAACCCAGCCCTGAAAACAAGAAAACAAAGATCCACAATTTTGTAACTCGTTATCATTCATTGGGATAGTGAATGAAACAAATTACAAAATCTCTGAGAGATGAATATGGTGGGCAATAACCTGTTTAAATGTATCTTGGTTTTTCAACACTTGATAAAGACTATCCTCCTTTAAAACACAAAATGAGGGGCTGGAGAGATGGCTCAGTGGTTAAGAGCACTGATTGCACTTCCAGAGGTCCCAAGTTCAAATCCCAGCAACCACATGGTGGCTCACAACCATCTGTAATGAGATCTGATGCTCTCTTCTGGTGTGTTTGAAGACAGCTACAGTGTATTCATATATAATAAATAAATAAATCTTTAAAAAAACACACACAAAATGAGTAAATTACAAGTGCATTAAAGACATACATTATCAAAATTGAGAACAAATACCTCTTAATAAGAATAGAAAACCCAAAACCCAGACAAATGTATTGCTCAAAGGCTAGGAGATAATTTTGAGCATACAAAAATATTGAAAACTTCTATGAAGTAGAAGACCACCAAAATGCAACTGACATGTGGTGAATCTGGAAACACATTGGCAACAGAAGCATAAAAAGCTCCTTTCAGCAGACAGCAATATAGACAAACTTGCCAAGGAAAGATAAGACCATGTTTTGGGAGGTGGAGAGAATACCTGAAGGGTGGCTGCTCTTGGCAGTGTCTTTGAAAGGGACACCAGGTACCAAGGAAAGAACTTCATGTCATAGTCTTCCTGGTGCCTCTCAAAAAGCAATCAATTAATTTGCTTACAGTTTAAAATACATCTTTCCTTTGTATGGCACTAGCCCCAGGTGATGGTACCAGGAGGGGTTTTGGTGGGTAACAAGGTCATGAGAGTGGAGCTAGGAGATAAGTATGTGGTTGAGAAGTAGATTCTTTCTCTATGACCCTCATGAGATACCAAACCGGCAGTGCATTGGTCCTGGATCTTTGGCTTCCAGAACAGTAAGAAGCAGTATCTGCACTGCTGTGTCTGCTCAGGTTGTTGAGATGCTTTGAGCTGACTGTTCCACCTGTGAGTTCCACCTCACAGGAGCAGGAACACATCAGTGTGTGGAAGAGAATACCTGGAGATATGATAGCAATGGGCAAAACCAAGATGGTTCCCGTGCTATGGAACTAGTGAGATGAGTCATGCTGTACCATGTGGTGGTCATGACATGATGTCAATGACAGACAACAGGGCATGGCTGACTGAGGGCATCTATATAGGAAAAGGTGAAGAACGATGCTTATGAGAATTCCATGTTCTTGCTAAATGGCACCAGAAATGCTGCTTTTCATTTCCATCCCTTAGTTCATTGGTAACAAGTGTGACCTGTGAGGACCAGAGGTCTGAGCAACACGGAATCCTCTTCTGACCTCATTTTCCACAACATTGCTCACCGAACCACATAACACTGGAGTCTTGTGTGTGTGTGTGTGTGTGTGTGTGTGTGTGTGTGTAAGGGGGTGTCTGCTGCTGCCCTGCTAGGTCAGTGCAAGGACAGCATAGAAGGATTAACAAGGCCAGGCAGATTATTAGCAGGATCCTGAGAGACCAAAGCTCTGTCTGGGAGTCTCCGTTTGAGTATACACACATGTACATATTCATGTGTCTGAGGTGCATGTGCATATGTGCACACAAGCATACTTGGGATGTATGTACATGTGTTTGAACAATGTCTCGCATATGAGCATTTTGTAAATGTGTAAAAAAATCTGTTCCTGCACAGGTTTTTGTATATGTTCTGCACATGTACGTGGGCAAAGTCATTCACTGTTTCTGCTCCTTTTTCCTCTTCCATTTTGACATCAGCTATGTGGGATGATGTCCCCTAGCCAAATTTCCAGCCTGGACTTTTGGTCTGCTATTTCCTCATTCCCCTGGACACTCAGTAGTCAAACAGAGTCTGTTTCTGTCTAGGTGGCTGTCTGGGACTTGATGTAGTGTTTGGGACTGTGGCTTATGGCCTTCCCTCATCCAGACAGGCAGTACTCAGGATTCTTAGAATCTGCAGACCTCTAGAGAAATCTGTTCAAATCTCCAGTGATAAACTACTCTGCCATATGCAAGTTACCCAGAAGTTCAGGAACCTGTGTAGTCTCTGGCCACATAGAAGAGTTGTTGTGCCAGCCTTCCCTAGCCAGGAAGAGGCCTCTTCGTGTGTGGAATCATTCTGCTGCCTGGAAAAAGCAATTTGTCACATCGTGGGGAGCATTTCTGGTGGGTTACTTGGGAGAGTAATGTTAGTTTAGTGAAATACATCCAGGAATAAAATGGAAAAAAAATGGAGTTGGAAGGAGAAAGGTTTCCCATTGCTCATTCTGCAATCTGACTCTATTTTGCTAATGTGTTCATAACTTTATCATTCTTCAGACAGCACTGTCTCTTTCCTCATCTCTCCCTTTCATGCTGGGTTCTGGCTTTCTTCTTTGGCTCCCTCTTTTCACCTTTGTCCCTCCTGACTGCCTCTTCTGTGTAGGAATCCCAGGGCCTTCAGGTACTGGGGCACAGCTGGATCCTCTATTCCCTAGAGAATAGCTTGGGAAACAGGCTGGGGGAACCTGTCCCTATTTTCAGTTCTCACTCCCAGCCCTTGGCACTAGCCTGTGTATGCTGTCTGGTGTCTGACCTTAGCACGTACTCAGGGCAGCACCTTGGGAAAACTGCAGGATTTCCTCAGCCCAGTCTCATCATTTGTGATGCAGGCTAACTCCTTGTTCAGCAAGTATTCATGGCAGTGCGGGGAAACAGACTGTTGCTAGATGAATCTCAACACTGTAGTGTGAGGTGGGGAATCCCCCTGTAGGTTTCGGCAACAATGGAGATGGTGGGCAGGGTGGTGTCGCTTCTCTACCCTTTCCTACTTCAGGGGAGCCTGCTGCTTTCTCTTTGCCCCCCCACATGAAGGGTTTGGGTTTTTGGGGTCTCACTGAGGTAGAGTTGAGCAGGGATGATTTCAGATAGAGGTGGGTACTAGGTGTCTCTGAGGATCAGTTTCTTTAAGAAAGAGCTAAAGAATCAGAGCCACAAAAGGCCTCTCTGGGAACTGATCAGCAACACCTCAGTGTTCACCTCTGGTAAGCAGGTGCTAACACTCTCATCTCAGGACAAGAGCTTCAGAGACAACAAGGTATGCCCAGGGGAAGAATTTTCCAGGTGGTGAATCCTGTTTTTGACTTTGTTATTGTAACAGATCTTATTTATTTATTTATTTATTTATTTATTTATTTATTTATATTTATTTAGATTTTTCTAGATAGGGTTTCTCTGTATAGCCCTGGCTGTTCTGGAACTCACTCTATAGACCAGGCTGGCCTCGAACTCAGAAATCTGCCTGCCTCTGCCTCCCAAGTGCTGGGATTAAAGGCATGGGCCACCACTGCCTGGCTAACAGATCTCTATTAAAGCCCACTTCTATTTCATGAGCCTGGAGAATGTGCTTACCTGTAGGCAGATGGTGAGGGCTAGACACAGCGGACCTGCACTATGCTGTGTCAAAACTAAACTAATTAAACTCTCTTCAGGCTAAACTTGATGTTAGCAGATAAATCTACTTACATGCAGTGGGGGTAGGGAAGGTGGGGAAAGTCCAGTGTCCTGTCTCTTTAAGTTACTGAGATCCCAGATCAGGAACGACACCAAATTCCCAAACATGGAACATTATATGCTAGTAGAGAAAACCCTAGGAAGACTTGCATGTAGAAGGCTCTCAAATACCTGTCCAATTGACTTGAGTAGGCAGTAAATTACCACTGTTATTCCCACAAGCAGAGCCAAGGCAGAACAGCCAGGCATGTGAGAGAACCCATGCTACACTGCAGAAACTGATCATCAGCCTTGTCTGTTCTTTCATCAAAACTATACCAAGTGCATTGCCCACTGGCCCTGCCTGGGGTTTATTTACCATGTGAGTTGATTTTTCTCTAGGGAATGGGTAGAAGGATTCTCTGGAATCTGGAAGATTTAGACTAAAGTGTATGGTCATCAACAAAAGGATTTCTCACCTGCTTCCGCTGTACTCATTTCAGCATTGGTCACCAGGGCCTAGTGCCTCTTAATTTCCTAGCCCTACACAGTGGCTAGATACCAGTCAGCTTTCTTGGTTCCCCTGGTCTTGCCTGCTGATGCAGGCCTGAACTCATCCAGCCTCTTTCCACTGCTCAGGCATGAGAAGGTCAATGATCCTGCTGCCCCTTTTGAGAGTGAAGAGGTTAGTAGGTGCTAGGATCTCCCCCATACACAGTGATCTTGCCCTCAGGATAGTCTTACCCAGGAGGCTGGCTGGTCATGGCAGCGCAGTGTGCCTGAGCTGGAGTAGAGCACGCTGTCCTTGACCAGCACAGAGATGGCTCTCAGCATGAAGGAGAGGAACAGATTCAGGTGGATGTAGTTCCTTGTGCAGTGCAGCTTCCTGAAGCGGGAGAGTCAGAAATTGATGTTTAATTATCATCTATAGTGTTTCTTCTCATGAAGTTTACCATTTGTTTAGCTTCTATTGTCACAGTTTCTGTTTGTTTCTGGTTTGCATCATGATACATATCTCGGCACATGGGCTCTCCTTTTATTTCAGATTGTGAATGTATAATGCAAAAGTCACCCAGAAGCTGTCTTGAGCCTGCAGTCAACTGTGCCTGTCCTCTCATATGTTTCAGGACACAGGTTGTGTACCTGAATTGTGGTGTCCCATTATCCTCGTCTTCTGTTGTAGCTTGTAGTCTCCATGCTCAGATGCTTCTACTCTGGGACAGAGCCACAGAGCCACACAACCATGACCTTACCCATTCCTCAGCTGAAACTTGGCCTCAAAGGCTTTGACTGATGTATAGCTTTCTAAATTAGGTGGTGTACTGGCTGGTTTTGTGTGTCAACTTGACACAAGCTGGAGTTATAACAGAGAAAGGAGCCAGCCTTCCTTGAAGAAAGGCCCCCATGAAATCCACTGTAAGGTATTTTCTCAGTTAGTGATCAAGGATGGGAGGGCCCATTGTAGGTGGTGCTATCCCTAGGCTGGTATTCCTTGGTTCCATAAGAAAGCAAGTTGAATAAGCCAGGGGAAGCAAGCCAGTAAGTAATATTCCTTCATGGCCTTTGCATCAGCTCCTGCTTCCTGACCTGCTTGAGTTCCAGTCCAGACTTCCTTTGGTGATGAACAGCAATGTGGAAGTGTAAGCTGAATAAACCCTTTCCTCCCCAACTTGCTTCTTGGTCACGATGTTTTGTGCAGGAATAGAAACCCTGACAGGTGGGAAACTGTGGTCTATACAAGTTAACTTTCTCCTCTTTATATTGACGCTAAGGACACAGTTTGATGTCTTCCATTGATCTCCTTTCTTGGCCACACAAGCTTTGGCTTTCCCTTTGACTCTCTCACAGTCCTGGACCTGAGTGGACCAATCATCAGCTGTGAGCTACATGAACAAATGAGACTGAAATATGGCCAAATGTGGGCTGATTTAAAATTTTATGTATTTTAATTAATCTGAGTTAAAAACAAGAGCAGCATGGACTAGTTTTCTTTTGTACAGCATATTCTTATCTTGGTAGAGCTGTATTTCATTTTGATATATTCATCATGTATGTATTGTATATGTATGTGTTATGTGCACTATGGCAGTGTCAGGTGTATATAGCTTTTAGCATTACACACAAATGAGACATGGATATAGGTTAATAGATTGATTCAGTTACAATTATTTTCTTTTCTGGACACAAGTGGAACATATGTTACTATGTTAATATTTTTAGAGACTGAATGAGTTCTAGTAATAATTGCAAAAAATTATATTCGATTATTTGTGGAAATGTTATTTTAGCTGCAAGTATTTTTTATACTTTATAAAACAAGTGGAGGTGAGCCTTAGAATTTAAAGTGAAGGCATGCTTTGACACAGCAGCACATGAAGAGGAAAATGATTCAATGAGGATATGTCATGAACAGCGGATACTGTTTTCTGTGTTGGAGAGATTCTGTTTAACAAGAACATGCCTAAAGTTAGTCACCTGAAATTAGAATTAGAATTCCAACAAAGGAGCCAGTGAAAACTGGGATGGGGCCCTTATCCAGCACTTCCAAGAAACCCTGAAACCTGGCAAAACTACTCAAACTAATCCTGTTGGAACTCTGGAAAATAGTAGAATTGATAGCTATGTGATTTCCCAATCCCAGGTGAGCACACTGTAGGTCAGCCTTGCCTTGTCCTATGGTACATGCCCAGCTTAGCACTATGCCGAAGACGATAGCTCATGTTTGCTGTGTGGTCTCAGGAATTATCTACAAATACAAGATAATTTGTCTTAAATTTTTAAGTTCATTGAATAGGTGTGACCTTCTAGAACCCACTCAGATTGAGCAGCAGCTATGATAAAAGTCACATAGTTTCTGGCTGCTGTCTAAGGCCAACATTAAGAGTTGAGGCAAATGACAGACATTCTGGAGCCTGGGAAGACTGAAGAGAGAGGCTCTCTGGGGAAGCAGAATTTTAAAAAGCTCTCATATATACAGAGGAACTTAGAAGCCTCCATGCATGCTCTGGGAAGGTCATATGCTCCCAAAGAGCTTTTCCCACTTTTTAGCACAAGCAAAATGAAGTTAAGGCAGGGTGGTAAATAGCCTGTCCAAGCACTGGAGGAGTGCTTCCAACACAGTCAGACTCCCCATCTGGGGAAATGTATGTTTTATTTTCTTCCCTTATTTCCCCTCTGACTGCAGATGTCTAAGGAACTCTCCATCAGTAAGTAATTGACTGCTGGCTAACATATATATATATATATATATATATATATATATATATATATATATATACTTCAGAGACCAACAGGGGCAATACAATCTCTACAAAACAGAAAAGTTTAGAAAAGTTACTAAATAAATGATTACACATTGGGCCTAGTAGCACAGAGTTGTCATACCAGCTACTCAGAGGCATGAAACATGAAGATTGTAAGTTCAGGATTTGCCTGGGACCAAGAGGGGTTTCAGAGCCAACCAAAGTATTTCAGAGAGACATTATTTCACAGTAAAAGTAAAGGAAAGGGTTGAGCTGTACCTCAGTGGTAAACGTCTGGCATTTGTAAGGTCCTGAGTTCAATCTCAAGTACCACAAAAATAACAAAATAGCATAAATAATACAGAAACAGCTACAACTCATAACAAAGGACAACAAAAATGAGAGACAAAATTTGATTTCCAGAGTTATCACCTCATATTATTAAAAATGTCCAATTTCAACAAAAAGATAATGATGCATTCAAAGAATCAAGAAAGCTGGATTACTAGTAGGAAAAAGAAAGAAATAAAACATTCTCTTTAAAAATCATACAAAGCTAAAAGAAAACCCACATGAAGTAGCCTTATTAGACGGAGGCTTATGGCCAAATGCTTTGAATGTGTTCAAAGAACAGAATGAAATAGAGCAATCCTTCGGCAAACATAGAATTTCAACAAATAAATGAAATTTTAAGAAGTAAGTTAAAAAAAGGTTGGATTTAAAATGTGTAACTGATTTTAGAAATTCCCTAGAGATGGCCAAGGAAAATCTACACAGGCAAAAGAGTGATTCAGTAAATTTAAAGATCAAAGAAAATTACCCAGTGTTAGATAGAAGCTGTTATGTAGTAATTTGGAAATGAAAACATTTCCTCTTGGCGTGAAGTCATTAAGGCTATGCAAATAAACAAAACTTACCAGGCTCAGAAAATAAACACTTCACAAGTCTTAGGAAGTTCCTGAAATTTATGATATTGACAAGGAACCTTCTCAAACAATAACAACTTCTAAGTAGAGGAGACTCACCAATCTGTTTAGTAGCCTACAAGTTGAGAAAGGGAATGCAGGAGATTCAGCTTTTGTGAATTATCATTTATGCTTGAGTGGGCTTTCCAGTGATGCAATTGCTTTTGAGTCATCCATGTCTCTGTTAAGTAACCTGTTGTAATTAGCCCCAGTAAACTCTCACTGGTTCACTAATGTAGACTTAAGGGGACTTTGGCTAGATGTAGGTTCCCACTTATTCATTTCCATCTATTTATGTGCTAAATACATGTTTGTTCATGTCTCTACAGAAAAAGTCAGATGTCAAAAGCAGAAAAATAAATAGATGAAGAAAAACAAAGAAAACCCAAAAGACATGGATTATTACCCATCATTTGCATAACAGGACCCTAGATTCTCATGGAAAAGTAAAATGGGATTGCAAAGGATCTCAAATGGCCAGAAAATTTTTTTAAAAGAACAAAGTAGAAGGACTCTCTGGATTCTAAATTTTCTGGAGACTATGGTGATCCAGCTGTATGGCTCTGCAAATGACCCAGTACATAAGAATCTTAAAATGTTCACATTTATGGTCAGTTGCCTCCCGATGAAGCCAAGAACATTTCATAGTCTTTTAAACTGTTGGTGTTGAACCACTGGGTAGGAACTGTAAGTGAATAAAGCTAGACTCTTCCATTTCAAAGCATATGAAAATGAATCAGTGACCAAAACACAAGAGCCAGAAGGATAGAATTATTTTGGGTTGGAAAAATGTGACCTTGGATATGACAAAGGTCTTTGAAATGTTATTCCAAAACCTACAAGCAGCATAATAAAAAATAGGCAAAGTGGACTCCCTCAAAATTTAAAACTTTAACATATTAAATACACATCACCAAGCTTAAAGAGACACCTAACTAATGGTAGAAGACATTTATAGAGTAGACTTATGATAAAATCTAGTGTCTATAATATGTAAATTTTAAAAATGTCACAAGAAACCAAAAAATTGAAACTGCAAACATGGGACTAGAGAGGATATAAAGATGGTCAAAAAGCACATGAGGTGGCAGGAATGATGGGTTAGTTGGTGAAGTGTTTGCAGCACTCAGTGTTAGAACTCAAGTTAGATCCTCTAGATCCATGTGAAAAAGTCAAATGCAACCCCAGGGAGGAGGAGGCTAGAGAACCCTTGAGCCTTGGGCCTTGCTGACTCACCAGTCTAGCCAGATCAGTAAGCTCAATGTTTCATAAGAAACCGTCTCAAAATACAGTGAAGAATGATTGAAAGAAACACCAGACTTTGACCTCTATCCTCCACATGCACATACATGCATAAGCTCATACACACTTATGTACACACACGAATAGGTTCACATACCATGCACACAAAGCACATGAAACTATCAGATATCACTACACTCTACAGTCACTTATTGCCTGCATTCTGAATGTTTGCGATTCTCTGTATTAACCAACATCCACTGCAAAAAGAAGCCTCTGTGGTGAGGGCTAACAACGGTACTAATCTGTGTGTATAAACATATGTATTTAGAACAGACTTTGATAAATGTCCATTTTGCAAAATGATAGTAGTAGGTTTACCCCTAGGGCTTGTAAGCTCTGCAGCCATAAGCTCTTGGCCAGGTTTAAAATACCATGCATGAGTTCCATCCTATGCAGTGGATCTTAAATCCAATCAGGAAGCAATTGGCTAACCCCCCTGGTCTAGTTTGAGTTATGTTGTTGTGATAAAATACCATGACCAAAAGCAACATGGGGCTTATTAAATCTTATGCTTCCAGGTAATAATCTATCACTGAAGGAATTCAGGACAGAAACTCAAGGCAGGAACCTGTGGCAGAAACCATAGAGGAGGGCTGGTTATAGAGTCACTTTCTTATCTAGCTTTTCTATATAGCCCATGCTCACCTGCCTAGGGATGGTGTCACTTACTGAGGACCTCCCATATCAAAAAAACAGTTAAAACAATTCCTCACAGATATGACCATTGATCAATCTGATCTGAACAATCTAGTCGAGACTTCCTCTTTACAAATGACTCTTGATTGTGTTAAATTAACAATAAAAACTAGCTAGCATAACCTCACTTTTTTTAAAAAAAGCAAAGGACATGAGTCTAAGAGGGTGTGTAGTCGGAGGTGGAGAGGATATTGGATATAATCAAAATGCACTTTATCTATACACAAAGTTTCAAAGAACACATTAAAATCATCTCTAAAAGGAAAGCAACCTGAAATCCCTACTCCTACAAGTCTCTCTGATCTCAAGAATGAGCAAGAAGTCCAACAGTAAATCAAACTCTGCAAATGACAATGCCGTGAGCCAGATTTGTAGAACACACCTAGATTAAAGTGAAGAGACATGAAATAATGGAAAAGATGGAAGAATGGTAAGAAAATATATGAGGACAGGCCAAAACACAGAACACACTGAGGATGCTGACCCAGGAGAAGAGAATGATGGGAAGCAATATATCAGGAGGCACCAGCCAAGGACTTCTGAAACTGATCAAAGAGAGTAACAGGTCAGACATTTCACAACCATAAGAAAGATACAAAAGTAATGAAACTAAGCCCATGAACGTCAGCTTCAGAGAATTAATAAAAACTAGCTTATTGCAACACAGGGAGAGACATTTGAAAATGGAAAAGGCCATGCTTTTAGGGACAAAGTTGAGCCACGGGCAACTCCTCAGGAGCCACAATCTTATCCTCCGTGCTCAGGAATATCCTTTTAAAAAGCAAGGCAAAAGTATCTGTTTTAGGCAAGCGAAAAGTCTGAGAATTCACTGAGACTACAATATGATCAGAGGTGCCTAGTGAGGCTCATAAGAAGCAGAGTGATGACCCCAGTAGGGAGGAAAATGTTGGAAAAATGAAGGGCAGTATGTAGGTATGCTAAACCTTAAACACCAACCTTAAATAGCAAAGTCTGTGGGATCTCAATATAGAATTAAAACATACAAAACAAACAAACAAACAAACAAACACGAAAGGCGCGTGGAGTTAATACGTGAGGCTCTTGAATTGACTGGGAAAGTTGTAAAGAGCAGGTTAGATGTTATGAGTAAGGGAATGTGTCTGTGGTGGTGGTTGTGCATGCCTTTAATTCCAGCACTTGAGATGCAGAGGCAGGAGGATCTCTAAATTTGTGGCCAGCCTGATCTACAAAGCAAATCCCAGGTTAGCCAGTGCTACACAGAGAAACCCTGTTGAGAGAGAGGAGAGAGAGAGAGAGAGAGAGAGAGAGAGAGAGAGAGAGAGAGAGAGGAGAGGAGAGAAGAGAAGAGACAGATGACAGACAGACAGAGAATCACACACACACAGAGACAGAGAGACCAAGAACATTGAGCTGAAGGGCAGTATTACTTGTTTACATAAGAAATTCAAAATGTTCAGTGTCAATATGCTACCTTTCCTCAAGAGTGCTCTATATTTATTTATTTATTTATTTATTTATTATTTATTTACTCATCTATCTATTCTCTCTCTCTCTCTCTCTCTCTCTCTCTCTCTCTCTCTCTCTCATCTATCGTGTGCATGTGTAACTGAGTTTATGTGTTCATGGGAACCCCCAGAGGCCAGAAGAAAGCAAAAGATTCCTTGTAACTGCAGTTACAGATGGCCATGTGACACAATATGGGTGCTGGGAACTGAATCCTAGCATTCTCCAACAGCAAATGCTTTTAAACGCTCATCTATCTCTCTAGCCCCTAGGGGTTCTCTACAGCTTGGTACACATGGGTATTTCAGGTCAAGACTCTAAACCTCTGAGTTACCAAATAACCTATAGGGAAGTTTGCTCTTCTCATAATCTTTGCAGAATTGCTCATTTTTTGTTCCTTACCTGAAAAGGCAGATAATTATGCTTCCTGTTGTAAGAGACATCAGAGAAACACTGTAGCCCAAGGTATAAATGGCCTTCACCAGAATATAAAACGTGATCTATGAAGAAATAAAAGATAACACATGTGTAAGCTGCTAGCCAAATGCATGGGGCACATGACATTTTGAGATCTTGGTCACAAAGGACTCTGTCTCTTGCATGCCAAGTGATAGTAGACAGGAGACAGGGTCATTTTATAATTCTTCCTCCATCTTGAGCCCAGAAGGACCTTCATTTTTTGAACACCTATCTTCTCTTACAAGCCATTGTAAGTGAGTGGATGACTTCTGTAAAAAAAAAAAAAATTATCCAAAGGAACTGTACTGGCTACCATTAGGGCCAAGACAGGCTGAGATGAAGGGAACTGGTGGGGTCCCTGATGGAGTGGGAGTAGAACAGTCTTCTGGAAATGCATTTCCAAATAAAACGAGGTGGTACACACATTTGAGCGCATGGAAAAGAATATGGTATCAAAGGTATATGGCCAGTTACTCAGAGGTCTGTCCTTATAGAGTGGCTACATCTTAGAATTTTTATTCCTCATACTTCTTAGGCTATTTGGTTTCATGGTTGGAATCTAACATCCATGTAATCATTGGATATGGGATAGAAAGCCCATACTTATTTCTGTAGGACACTACAAGCACAAGGACTCTCTCTCTCTCTCTCTCTCTCTCTCTCTCTCTCTCTCTCTCTCTCT